TGTGAAAAGTTTGTGACAGGTGTAAACAGCCCTGATATTCAAAGAAAGTTGCTGCTCGAGTCAGATCTAACATTGGAAAAAGCAATACAACTTGCAATGTCATTCCAGCAGTCATCAGATGCGGCGAGATCTTTAGCACCTTCAGAGATCCATGCAGTAAACAGCAGGTTAGTCAATAAACATCAACCCCATCAGAGCATTCCAACTTATGCTAAACAGCCTGCTCGTTCAAATCCTAGATCTAAATCTAGTAATAATTATCAAAAATGTCATCGATGCAACGGTCCCCATGCATCTCATCAATGTAAGTTCAAGTCTGCAACTTGTTATAAGTGCAGTAAGCAAGGTCACATTGCTAAGGCCTGCTTTGCAAAGTCTTCGTCTGTTGCTAAATCTAGCCAGTCAAGACAGTACCGCAACCAAAGGCAGCACTATGTTAACTCTCACCAAGACTACCTAACCCAACCAATGAACCACTCTACCTGTGAAAATGCTCAAACTGATTCGCAGCCGGATTTCAACCTATTCTCTGTGAAATCAATAAGTCATGCTCCCATCAATGTACAAGTTTATATCAACGGTAAGAGCATCAGCTTCCAACTTGACACTGGAGCATCTCTAACAGTCGTCACAAAGAAAGATTTTGACGCTGTCACAGGAGGATCAGTGTCTCTACAGCCATGTCACAAGTGTCTAACAACATACACTGGTGACAATGTTCCGGTAATAGGAGAGTGTATGGTTCATGTAAGTTATAATGGTCAAAGTGTTAAACTTCCTCTTCTTGTGGTTGAAGGAAATGGACCGCCATTACTAGGTAGGAACTGGTTAAGTGATCTTAAGTTAAATTGGGAGAGTATTTGTTCATTGAAGAATGTAAAAGAATCTAGTCTTACTTCACTAGATAGAGTTATATCTGAAAATAAAAGTGTTTTTAGTAATCCAGGATTACTAAATGATAGAACAGTGAAGTTAAGCATTAAAGACACAAATCCAAGATACTGCAAAGCTAGAGTTCCACCTTATGCAATGAGGAATAAAATTGAAAATGAGCTAAGTAGATTGGAATCTAATGGCATTATAAAGAAGGTAGACTATTCCGATTGGGCAACACCCATTGTGCCAGTGTTAAAGAAGGATGGTTCTATAAGAATTTGTGGAGATTATAAAACTACACTGAATAAGCAAATAGAGCTAAATAGGTACCCTATACCTAACATTGAGGAAATTTCTTTGAATTTGGCAGGAGGAGACAAATTCACTGAATTAGACTTTAGTCATGCTTACACTCAACTAGAACTGCATCCAGATTCAAAAGTCTATACGACAATAAACACACATAAAGGACTCTACCAATATGAAAGACTATGTTTTGGTATATCATCTAGCCCTGGAATTTTCCAAGCTGTCATGGACAGTATTTTTAAGGACATTCCAAATGTTTGTGTGTACTTTGACAATGTGTACATAACTGGTAAGAATGACACTGAACATCTTAAAACACTAGATAAAGTTTTGAAAATTGTTGGTGAAAAAGGTTTAAAGATAAACAAAGATAAATGTCAATTCATGCTGACAGAAATTAGTTTTCTTGGTTATATATTGAGCAAACAAGGCATCAGACCTCAACCTGAGAAAACAAAAGCCATTAAAGAAGCACCCAAACCTGAAAATACCCAACAACTAAGAGCTTTTTTGGGCTTAATAAATTACTATGCAAAGTTCATAGGAAATCTGTCTGGTAAACTATCACCACTGTACAAGCTGCTACAGAAAAATGCAACTTGGCACTGGGGTAAACAACAAGAAGCTGCTTTTAATACAGCAAAAGAGGCTTTGTCTGCTGACACCTTACTAACTCACTATGACCCAGGGAAAAGACTTATATTAACATGTGATGCTTCACCAGATGGTGTAGGAGCAGTCTTGTCCCACATGGATGAGAAGGGTGACAGACCCATTGCTTTTGCCAGTAGATCTTTGAACCAGGCTGAGAAAAATTATTCTCAGTTAGATAGGGAAGGCTTAGGCATCAATTTTGGTGTTAAGAAATTTCATAAGTTTCTGTTTGGTAGGAAGTTCACCATCTTTACAGATCATAAACCATTGCTAGGTTTATTTGGAGAAAACAAAACCCTACCTGAGCATGCCTCACCAAGAATTCAAAGATGGGCTATCACACTAACTGCATACAATTATGAATTGAAATACAAACCTGGATCTGAGAATAGTGCAGATAGTCTTAGTAGATTATCTTTAAAAAAACCAAAGCCTGAGCTATGTACCAGAAGATGTATTTGTTCTCTTCACTATCAGGGATAACTCCAATATAAATGTGAATGATGTTAAAAGAGAAACACAAAAGATGAGTGCTTAATAAAAGTGTATGAGTACTGTAAGAATGGTTGGCCTGAAGAGTCTGTGAATGATGACTTAAGGCCATATAAAATAAGAAATTAAAACCCTTTGTGAAGATAATATAAAAGATGGAGAAGATGCAGTCCATTATCAGTCAGAGTTGCCTAAACAAAGTATTTGTAACTTAATAAATGATTATGGTGATATGGCAATTTCAAATGTTTTAAAGAAAATACATTAGTAAGAAGGAATGTGATCATCAAACAACTTTGCTAACATCATTAGCACTTACAGAAACTAAAAGGGTAACATCAAAAGAAAAGAGCAAAGATTTTTGCCATTGAATACACCCACTTCAAATACTGGATCACAGTTGCAAAGTGATATTGTCCAGGATATTACTTTTAAACAGTATGTTTGGTTACGAAAAAGCACTATCAGATTACCTGAGGAAATTGATCAATCAAAGAAATCTATGTCAGTCAAGGATCTGAATAACAGCATAATACTTTCAGATGCCAATTCAAAAATAGTTCCATTAGATCATGACAACATTCATTGAAAGAGAATTTGCAGTTAATGATAATGTGTATCTAAGAAATTATGGGAGAAAGGAAAAATGGATACCAGGTCAAATTGTTCAATGTACAGGACCTGTGCCTTATAAAGTTAAAAATAACTTGTGCAGATAATAAGTGTGAATCTGTCAATCCCACCAAAGCTGATCAGTTCACACCAACTCAGTTTGTTTCACAACCAAGTTCTGTTGATATGAGTGAACCAGGTTGTCTGGAGTCAGAAAATGTAAATTCTGGAGTTAATGATTTAAATCCTAGACCTCCTGAGATAGAGAATCCAAATGGTCAGAATCTTGAGTCACCAAATCAAAAGCCACTGAGAAGGTCAAGCAGGACAATCAAAGTCCCAAATAAGTTAGACCTATGATTTTAAAGGTCAAAAGGACTTTGACATTATTGTTTTGTATCTTAATTATGTTGTAGCATATTGTGCATTGTTTGTAAGGATGTAATCTACCATAGTGTTCATGTTACAATATAATTGGTGATTTTAGGATACTATCAATTGTTCTATTGAGAGATGTGTTATTGTGTTCTAAGGGTAAAGGGATGTAATAGATTGAAATAATTGTGAGGTCAAGGGAACTCACTCTTCTGTATTAGTATTATATTTATATTGTTATCTTGAGTGATGTCCCTTACATGTTGTTATGTATATAAGTCTCTCGCCACTTCCGACTTCCTCTCTTTGCATCATGGCGTCTGTAAATAAAGATTGTTAACACCAACGTGGCTTCTCGTCATTGTTTGTCAATCTACCTCATTTCTCCTGCACTAGATAAATGTGGCATTTTTAAAAATAATATTTTAACTCATGTGATTTTTGAAAATAATGAACACATTCTTCCTGTTAATGTTACCAACACAATAGTTTTAGAGTTATTTTATGTCTAAAGCAAAAAAAAAAATTGAATTGTATTTTTTTTTTTTTTTTTTTTGAAAATAAAAACCACCAAAACGCATCGTAATTTTCAATTATTTTTATACTTTATAAAGGCTCATTTTAGATGACTGAAAAAATTGGGCAAATATATTACAAAATTTTACTAATTTCTACACTTCTAATACTTCTGTTATTTATTTTAGAAAATATGGGTTCTCAAAAATGGCACTTTTTGAAAATCAGTTTTTTACCAAATTTTGCGTTTTTAAAAATCGCATAACTTTTTGATTTATTGAGATATTTTTACAAAATTTGAGTCATAAAGCTTGCAATTAAAAGTTTTTTTTTCAGGATATAGAACGGAGTTTCTTCCAGGCATCTCTTCGGGGGGGGGGACGAAGCCCCCCGAAAAAATTCTACCGCCCCCCCCCCCCCCCCCCCCCCCCCCGAACGAAATGAAATTTATATAATTTATATAGAAAATATATATACTTTTAACATTGTCCGCCCCCCCCCCCCCCAAGAAAGTCTACCCCCCCCCCCCGAAAATTTCAAGTGCCCCCCCCCACCCCCCCCCCGGGAGAAAAAAGTCTGGAAGAAACACTGATATAGAAGTTAATTTCAGTTTTGACTACCTTAATTTAGGTTAGAATTGACGACACAATATTTCAGGTTAGAATTGATAACACAATATTTTAGGTTAGAATTATTGACCAACTATTTTATGTTATAATTGTTGACCAACTATTTTATGTTAGAGTTGACGACACAATATACTAGGTAGAATTGTTGACAAACTATTTTAGGTTGGAAATGATGGTACAATATTTTAGGTTAGAATTGACGACACATAGATCTAGATCTATTTTAGGTTACAATTGACGACACAATATTTTAGGTTAGTATAAATGTCACGATATTTTAGGTTAGAATAAATGACACGATATTTAATTTCAGGTTAGAATGAATGACACAATAGTTTAGGTTAGAAAAAAAATTTGACTAGTAACTCGATAAAAACATAGCCGAATAACACACTGATAGTCAGCTGTTGCTCTAGCTGTGTTGCTTGCGGCCAAACAAATTAGCTTATTGACAGTTCGCAACAGCAGCATATGGTACAACAGATTAGATGATTGAAAATTCTCATCTTATCAACTAGAAACACAACTGTCACCTACCTCATATCATCCATTTATTCCTGTACAAAAAGACAATAACACACTTGTGACCAGCAACACAGTGCACACGTGCGTGTATGCAGTCAACTGTTGGTGTCATCAGTCAAACGTGTGGCCGCCTGCTGTCCTCATCAAAAGCCAGCTGATAATTTACATGAAAACATACGAGACATCAACAGGGACTTAGTTGACTGCCAACACACTGCTCGTTTTTAATCTCTTATGTTATCTCCAGATAGGTCGCTCAGTACAGTTGCTCTTGTGTTTTATACAGCCAATTAACTATTTTCCAATTAAACAGGCCAATAAGTCATCTGTTGTAAAAAGTCACATTAGTCATTTTGTTTTTAAAATGCCTTTAGTCAGTTTGATGTAAACAGGCTAAATATAGTTAAATGTGATTAAGAGTTTGAGTGCCTAGACTACCCATAGGTTAGGCCAGGGGTTCCCAACCTTTTTTTTACTCTAGAGCACATTCTAAAATATCGGTAGGGTGGCGGGCACCACCTATTTTAAATCGACAAACTCCTTCCAAAGGCGTAGCGACCCTTCCCGTCACCCGGGGATTTGCACACACCCCCCCCTTCAAATTTTCGATTTGCACCCCCCCCCCCCCCTCAAACTTTCGATTTTTCATCCCCTTCAACCTTTCAATAATGTTTATGAAAATAATGAGAGAATAGTGAGAGGCGGGCACATACGAATCGTTCGGCGGGCGCCATGGCGCCAGGGGCGGAACTACAGTGCCGCCAGACCCCGCAATGCGGGGGGGCCCAGACCGAATGGGGGCCCAAAAATCCCGGCTAAATTATTTAAAAAAAAAAAAAATTAAAATAAAAAATTTAAAAAAAAAAAAAAAAAAAAAAAAAAAAGGTGGAGGTCGAGTTATCTTTCTTCTACAGTTACAAAAAAAAAACACGATAGTCGCCAAAGGTCTTTGAAAAAAATGTACAGACTATAGCTCGAGAGACCGCCAGACATATAGACAACTTCAAAGACGCAGGGGCGGAACTACAGTGCCGCCAGACACCGCAATGCGGGGGAGGGGGGCAGACCGATTGGGGCCCCAAAAATCCTGGCTAAATTATTTTAAAAAAAAAATGTAAAAAAAAAAAATTAAAACAAAAAAAAAATTAAATTTTTTTTTTTTTAAATTAGGTGGAGGTCGAGTTATCTTTCTTCTACAGTTACAAAAAAACACGATAGTCGGCAAACGTCTTTGAAAAAAATGTACAGAATATAGCTCGAGAGACCGCCAGACATATAGACAACTTCAAAGACGCAGGGGCGGAACAACAGTGCCGCCAGACACCGCAATGCGGGGGGGGGGGGGCAGACCGATTGGGGGCCCAAAAATCCTGGCTAAATTATTTTTGTTAAAAAAATGTAAAAAAAAAAATAAATTTAAAATTAATTTTTTTTTTAAAATTAGGTGGAGGTTGAGTTATCTTTCTTCTACAGTTACAAAAAAACACGATAGTCGGCAAACGTCTTTGAGAAAAATGCACAGACTATAGCTCGAGAGACCGCCAGACATATAGACAACTTCAAAGACGTAGCCTACCTTTTTACTTTTAGTGGCGTCGATTAGGAGAACAAAAAAGGATTGTTATATTGTTTACATTATTAAATATATATATATATATATATATATATATATATATATATATATATATATATATATATATATATATATATATATATATATATATATTATATATATATATATATATATATATATATATATATATATATATATATATATATATATATATATATATGATTGTGTGTTTAAACTACTGGCCTGGACTCTACAAAAAATATAATCATTTATTTCGATGTCATACATTTATAATTGCGTTCATTTTTACTTTAACAACTGTATCAATAAACTTGTGAAAGTTTAAGTTATCTCCCTTTAGCGAAGCATCTGAAGTTTTTGCCGGCACGCTTTGAAATCGGGCTGGGGAAATGTTGCGGCGACTATTCTGGTCTTCTAGACGACCGGAAAAAGTCGGCACTATTGATGTAGATGTTTATCGGCACTTTCTAGTCCCCTTCCCTTGAACCTTCCCAACTCTCACCCCTCCCCCCTCCCCCCTCTCACCCCTACCCCTCACCTCTACCCCTCACCACACCCTTACTCTTACAATAAGATGTAATGCATAGATTAACGAACCGTCTATGAACTACTGAACTGTAAACTGACCACTTCTGCACATTTTGTTAAAGACACTAGTCAGTAGTTGTTCATTTACCTGATGAAGTATTTTGTTGACGAGTCTAATTCACACAACAAGGAAGGTAAGGCTCGTCTTTATATTATTAATTGTTTTATAATTAGTACACGTATTAATTGAACATTAGTTATTAACACTAAATACATTAAAGTTAATCAAATTTAGGATACAATGATCTAGCTTTTAAGCCTAAAAACAACCAAAAGATCTATATCACCTTTGAATGTATTAATGTTTAGTTTCATGTTTAGCCCGTAACGGGGAGGGGTTATATTCGGTTATAATATGGGTGGGTCTTTGGCAGTGTTTCTTCCAGACGTTTCTCTTCGGGGGGGGGGGGGCACTTGAAATTTTCGGAGGGGGGGGGGGGGCGGGCACTGTTAAAAAGTATATATTTTCTATATAAATTATATAAAATTAATTTCTTTCGGGGGGGGGGGGGGGCGGTAAAAAAAATTTCGGGGGGGGGGGGGCTTCGACCCCCCCCCCCCGAAGAAATGCCTGGAAGAAACTCTGGTCTTTGGTGTAGCAACGAAAGTGGGTTGTGATTGGGTTAAATATTAAAGTATTAAAGCTTCAGTGTACAGTACACATATTTCCAAGCTCATGAGTGGATGAGTTGTACTGTTGTAAGGGTGAACTACTTATGGTGGGAGGGGGGTGGGGTGGAACTTAAAGTGATGTGACATAGAAAATATTTTGTATTCTTGTGAAAATAAAAATAACAAAACATGCATTGGATTTTAGTTGCAGTAAAATGTGTGGGGTGGAGGGGGTAGGGCTATAAAGCTTGATATCATTTATTGACCTCACTCATGATTCGTGCCTTTGATTAACATAATTTAATGTTAATGATCTATATTTTTAAGCTATTTACTTTTAAAATGTTCAAAGGGCTAAAATGAAAAAACAGCAAAGTTCTAGTAGCGGTGCAGCGAAAAAAAGAAAGCTAAAGAGGCAACAAGAGAGTTTGTCTAAAATACCGAGAATGACACAGTTTCTTAAGCCTGCTGTAAATAAAGAGGACATTCAAAGTACATCTAGAGGTGTAGAAGAGTCTGAAAACGATGAACAAAATATTTCAAATATTTCTGATTCTAGTAATGCTGAGCTGAATTGTATTACTACAGATATACATAAAGAAAATTCTGACGAAGAAATAGACAGTGATTCTACGACAGGTGGCTTATTTTCTACAGATATTGCAGATTATCAGGACAAAATATTAACAGATGCTACCAAGAAAAATATAATAATGTCCGCCTCTTGTCGACCCCGAGGACCTTTTAAACGAGATCCCTCACAACATAACCGGATGTTTTCTGAAGAGTTTTATAGAACTTCAACAACAGTTGGGTTTATTGAAAGGTTGTGGCTGTGTTATTCTCCGAAGTTGGATGCTGCATATTGCGAGCCATGTTGGTTGTTTTCTACTGACAAAAACGAAAGTTGGCGTAAAAAAGGTGTTAGAGACTGGCAAGGGCTTTCAAAAAAGATAAAAGTACATGAAAAAAGCCAATTTCATATTAGATCATGTTGCATCTACGAAAAGTGGAAGAACAATCAAACAATTGATAAACACCTAGAAGAGCAAATCCGCTACGAATCAAACTTTTGGGCACAAGTGTTAGAGCGACTCGCTAACATTACTTTAATGCTTTCAAAAAATTTTTTGTCTTTTCGCGGACACCGTGAAAAACTGCATGAAGAGTATAATGGAAATTTTCTCTCCCAGGTGAAACTTTTATCGAAGTATGACAACGTAATGAAACAAGTTTTGACAATGCCACACGGAACTACGAAATATTTAAGTCACCAAATTCAAAACGAAATTATACATTGCCTAGCAACACGCCTGAAAGCTACATTAGTTGCTGAAATTAAAAACGCGCCCTTTTATTCAATTATTATGGACACCACACAGGATATTACAAAAAGAGACCAACTCAGTCAAGTATTTCGATACCTGAAGATAATTCTAAACGATAAAAATGAACCTACATCATTTGAAATAAGAGAAGTCTTTTTAGGGTTTAATGAAATAGTAGATCATTCAGCGGACGGACTGTATCAAGAAACCTTAAAAGTGCTTAACATAAATGATATAAACCTAACCAAATGTCGAGGACAAGCCTATGATGGTGCAAGTGTTATGAGTGGGGCATATAATGGTGTTCAAGCTCTCTTGAGAAATGATGTACCAAGTGCTCTGTATGTTCATTGTGCCTCACACAACTTGAATCTTGTAATAAATGATGCCGTCAAGAGCTGCAAGAAAGTTTCTTCATTTTTCACAACATTAGAAAATATTTATTCCTACTTTGGCAACAGCATAAAAAGGTGGGACCTACTCTCACAGTTTACAGGAGAGTCAAAGATTACCCTAAAACGACTCAATCCGACACGTTGGGCTGGAAGATATACTTCTCTCATGGCAGTTAAGCTTCGGTTTTTAGATATAATGAGAGCTTTGATCGAACTATCATTGAAAAGTACTAAGAAAGACGAACGAGATGAAGCAATACGGCTGCAGAACCAAATAAACACTTTTGAATTTGTTTTTATTTGCGTGCTTCTGTCCAAGATATTAGCTGAAGTGCATATCCCATCAACATTGTTACAGACACAAAATTTAGATATCATGACTGCAACTGACTCTCTACAAACTGCAAGGACACATTTAAAAGAATACAGAAGCCAGTACCAGGGGCGGAACTACAGTGCCGCCAGACCCCGCAATGCGGGGGGGCCCAGACCGAATGGGGGCCCAAAAATCCCGGCTAAATTATTTAAAAAAAAAAAAAATTAAAATAAAAAATTTAAAAAAAAAAAAAAAAAAAAAAAAAAAAGGTGGAGGTCGAGTTATCTTTCTTCTACAGTTACAAAAAAAAAACACGATAGTCGCCAAAGGTCTTTGAAAAAAATGTACAGACTATAGCTCGAGAGACCGCCAGACATATAGACAACTTCAAAGACGCAGGGGCGGAACTACAGTGCCGCCAGACACCGCAATGCGGGGGAGGGGGGCAGACCGATTGGGGCCCCAAAAATCCTGGCTAAATTATTTTTAAAAAAAAATGTAAAAAAAAAAAATTAAAACAAAAAAAAAATTAAATTTTTTTTTTTTTTAAATTAGGTGGAGGTCGAGTTATCTTTCTTCTACAGTTACAAAAAAACACGATAGTCGGCAAACGTCTTTGAAAAAAATGTACAGAATATAGCTCGAGAGACCGCCAGACATATAGACAACTTCAAAGACGCAGGGGCGGAACAACAGTGCCGCCAGACACCGCAATGCGGGGGGGGGGGGGGGGGCAGACCGATTGGGGGCCCAAAAATCCTGGCTAAATTATTTTTGTTAAAAAAATGTAAAAAAAAAATAAATTTAAAATTAATTTTTTTTTTAAAATTAGGTGGAGGTTGAGTTATCTTTCTTCTACAGTTACAAAAAAACACGATAGTCGGCAAACGTCTTTGAGAAAAATGCACAGACTATAGCTCGAGAGACCGCCAGACATATAGACAACTTCAAAGACGTAGCCTACCTTTTTACTTTTAGTGGCGTCGATTAGGAGAACAAAAAAGGATTGTTATATTGTTTACATTATTAAATATATATATATATATATATATATATATATATATATATATATATATATATATATATATATATATTATATATATATATATATATATATATATATATATATATATATATATATATATATATATATATATATATATATATATATATATATGATTGTGTGTTTAAACTACTGGCCTGGACTCTACAAAAAATATAATCATTTATTTCGATGTCATACATTTATAATTGCGTTCATTTTTACTTTAACAACTGTATCAATAAACTTGTGAAAGTTTAAGTTATCTCCCTTTAGCGAAGCATCTGAAGTTTTTGCCGGCACGCTTTGAAATCGGGCTGGGGAAATGTTGCGGCGACTATTCTGGTCTTCTAGACGACCGGAAAAAGTCGGCACTATTGATGTAGATGTTTATCGGCACTTTCTAGTCCCCTTCCCTTGAACCTTCCCAACTCTCACCCCTCCCCCCTCCCCCCTCTCACCCCTACCCCTCACCTCTACCCCTCACCACACCCTTACTCTTACAATAAGATGTAATGCATAGATTAACGAACCGTCTATGAACTACTGAACTGTAAACTGACCACTTCTGCACATTTTGTTAAAGACACTAGTCAGTAGTTGTTCATTTACCTGATGAAGTATTTTGTTGACGAGTCTAATTCACACAACAAGGAAGGTAAGGCTCGTCTTTATATTATTAATTGTTTTATAATTAGTACACGTATTAATTGAACATTAGTTATTAACACTAAATACATTAAAGTTAATCAAATTTAGGATACAATGATCTAGCTTTTAAGCCTAAAAACAACCAAAAGATCTATATCACCTTTGAATGTATTAATGTTTAGTTTCATGTTTAGCCCGTAACGGGGAGGGGTTATATTCGGTTATAATATGGGTGGGTCTTTGGCAGTGTTTCTTCCAGACGTTTCTCTTCGGGGGGGGGGGGGCACTTGAAATTTTCGGAGGGGGGGGGGGGGCGGGCACTGTTAAAAGTATATATTTTCTATATAAATTATATAAAATTAATTTCTTTCGGGGGGGGGGGGGGGGGGGGGGGCGGTAAAAAAAATTTCGGGGGGGGGGGCTTCGACCCCCCCCCCCCCCCCCCCCCGAAGAAATGCCTGGAAGAAACTCTGGTCTTTGGTGTAGCAACGAAAGTGGGTTGTGATTGGGTTAAATATTAAAGTATTAAAGCTTCAGTGTACAGTACACATATTTCCAAGCTCATGAGTGGATGAGTTGTACTGTTGTAAGGGTGAACTACTTATGGTGGGAGGGGGGTGGGGTGGAACTTAAAGTGATGTGACATAGAAAATATTTTGTATTCTTGTGAAAATAAAAATAACAAAACATGCATTGGATTTTAGTTGCAGTAAAATGTGTGGGGTGGAGGGGGTAGGGCTATAAAGCTTGATATCATTTATTGACCTCACTCATGATTCGTGCCTTTGATTAACATAATTTAATGTTAATGATCTATATTTTTAAGCTATTTACTTTTAAAATGTTCAAAGGGCTAAAATGAAAAAACAGCAAAGTTCTAGTAGCGGTGCAGCGAAAAAAAGAAAGCTAAAGAGGCAACAAGAGAGTTTGTCTAAAATACCGAGAATGACACAGTTTCTTAAGCCTGCTGTAAATAAAGAGGACATTCAAAGTACATCTAGAGGTGTAGAAGAGTCTGAAAACGATGAACAAAATATTTCAAATATTTCTGATTCTAGTAATGCTGAGCTGAATTGTATTACTACAGATATACATAAAGAAAATTCTGACGAAGAAATAGACAGTGATTCTACGACAGGTGGCTTATTTTCTACAGATATTGCAGATTATCAGGACAAAATATTAACAGATGCTACCAAGAAAAATATAATAATGTCCGCCTCTTGTCGACCCCGAGGACCTTTTAAACGAGATCCCTCACAACATAACCGGATGTTTTCTGAAGAGTTTTATAGAACTTCAACAACAGTTGGGTTTATTGAAAGGTTGTGGCTGTGTTATTCTCCGAAGTTGGATGCTGCATATTGCGAGCCATGTTGGTTGTTTTCTACTGACAAAAACGAAAGTTGGCGTAAAAAAGGTGTTAGAGACTGGCAAGGGCTTTCAAAAAAGATAAAAGTACATGAAAAAAGCCAATTTCATATTAGATCATGTTGCATCTACGAAAAGTGGAAGAACAATCAAACAATTGATAAACACCTAGAAGAGCAAATCCGCTACGAATCAAACTTTTGGGCACAAGTGTTAGAGCGACTCGCTAACATTACTTTAATGCTTTCAAAAATTTTTTTGTCTTTTCGCGGACACCGTGAAAAACTGCATGAAGAGTATAATGGAAATTTTCTCTCCCAGGTGAAACTTTTATCGAAGTATGACAACGTAATGAAACAAGTTTTGACAATGCCACACGGAACTACGAAATATTTAAGTCACCAAATTCAAAACGAAATTATACATTGCCTAGCAACACGCCTGAAAGCTACATTAGTTGCTGAAATTAAAAACGCGCCCTTTTATTCAATTATTATGGACACCACACAGGATATTACAAAAAGAGACCAACTCAGTCAAGTATTTCGATACCTGAAGATAATTCTAAACGATAAAAATGAACCTACATCATTTGAAATAAGAGAAGTCTTTTTAGGGTTTAATGAAATAGTAGATCATTCAGCGGACGGACTGTATCAAGAAACCTTAAAAGTGCTTAACATAAATGATATAAACCTAACCAAATGTCGAGGACAAGCCTATGATGGTGCAAGTGTTATGAGTGGGGCATATAATGGTGTTCAAGCTCTCTTGAGAAATGATGTACCAAGTGCTCTGTATGTTCATTGTGCCTCACACAACTTGAATCTTGTAATAAATGATGCCGTCGAGAGCTGCAAGAAAGTTTCTTCATTTTTCACAACATTAGAAAATATTTATTCCTACTTTGGCAACAGCATAAAAAGGTGGGACCTACTCTCACAGTTTACAGGAGAGTCAAAGATTACCCTAAAACGACTCAATCCGACACGTTGGGCTGGAAGATATACTTCTCTCATGGCAGTTAAGCTTCGGTTTTTAGATATAATGAGAGCTTTGATCGAACTATCATTGAAAAGTACTAAGAAAGACGAACGAGATGAAGCAATACGGCTGCAGAACCAAATAAACACTTTTGAATTTGTTTTTATTTGCGTGCTTCTGTCCAAGATATTAGCTGAAGTGCATATCCCATCAACATTGTTACAGACACAAAATTTAGATATCATGACTGCAACTGACTCTCTACAAACTGCAAGGACACATTTAAAAGAATACAGAAGCCAGTACAGTTTAGTTAAAGATGAAACAGTTCAAATAGCGAACAAATGGAAGATCAATCCAACTTTTCCATGGAAAAGGCAAAAACTAGTAAAAAAACATTTTGATGAACTATCCTGTGACCACCGTTTTGGAAATGAAGACGACTTTAGAGTTAATGTATTTAATTGTGTGTTAGACATTGTCATAAATCAAATCGAAAAGAGATTTCAGGGAATGCATGAGGTTTGTACTTTGTTCGCTTTCTTAGCTCCATCACAGTTAGTATCACTTCCAGAACAAGACATTTTAAAATCTGCCGAAAATCTTCAATTAAAATACAAAGAAGATCTTTCAGCGGAATTTCCTTTACAAATTGTTTTGACAGCCTCAATGCTGAAAGATGAACTTGTGAAAATATCAACAATTAAAGATTTGGCTGAGCTATTATTCATCAAGTACTCTACAATTTCTTCAAGCTTTTCAGAAGTCTTAACTGCATTATTTTTATTTCTTACTCTACCTGTCACTGTGGCTACAGCAGAAAGATCATTTTCCAAGCTTAAAATAATAAAAAACTATTTACGCAGCTCCACGGGCCAAGAACGTTTGCACAATCTCTCTTTGCTTGGCATAGAAGCCAAAATAGCCAAACAAATGGACATAAAAGATGTTATTAGAGATTTCGCTAATTTGAAATCCAGGAGAATGAATTTTGAATTTTAGAAAAGCTAAAACTGCTGTTGATATGTTTTCTTGTTCACGTTGTGTCTTTCATTTAAAAAAAAAATCATATCTAAACACCTTCATATGTGTTGTTACTTTTGTAGTAAGTAATAAGTAGCTGTTTCAAATGTTATACAAAGAAGAGGCAATGTTCTAGCCGATTGATATTCATTTGTTTAATATACACCCGATCAGGGGCGTAGCGGGGGGTGCGGACCGCACCGGGTGACACCATTTAGGGGGGTGACACCAAGGCAAAAAAATAGCAAAATATATAGAGAAAAACTCGAGGGGGGGGTGCAAATCGAAATTTTGAGGGGGGGGGGGGTGCAAATCGAAAATTTGAAAGTTTGTCCCTGGGAAGGGTCTCTATGGCTCTGGGGGGGGGGGGGGGTGACACCCGACCTCGCTACGCCACTGCACCTGATATATATATATATATATATATATATATATATATATATATATATATATATGTGTGTATACATATAGATATATATATATATATATATATATATAGGGGCCTAAAAAAATTTTTTGCGGGGGGGCCATTTTTTTCTAGTTCCGCCACTGGCCAGTACAGTTTAGTTAAAGATGAAACAGTTCAAATAGCGAACAAATGGAAGATCAATCCAACTTTTCCATGGAAAAGGCAAAAACTAGTAAAAAAACATTTTGATGAACTATCCTGTGACCACCGTTTTGGAAATGAAGACGACTTTAGAGTTAATGTATTTAATTGTGTGTTAGACATTGTCATAAATCAAATCGAAAAGAGATTTCAGGGAATGCATGAGGTTTGTACTTTGTTCGCTTTCTTAGCTCCATCACAGTTAGTATCACTTCCAGAACAAGACATTTTAAAATCTGCCGAAAATCTTCAATTAAAATACAAAGAAGATCTTTCAGCGGAATTTCCTTTACAAATTGTTTTGACAGCCTCAATGCTGAAAGATGAACTTGTGAAAATATCAACAATTAAAGATTTGGCTGAGCTATTATTCATCAAGTACTCTACAATTTCTTCAAGCTTTTCAGAAGTCTTAACTGCATTATTTTTATTTCTTACTCTACCTGTCACTGTGGCTACAGCAGAAAGATCATTTTCCAAGCTTAAAATAATAAAAAACTATTTACGCAGCTCCACGGGCCAAGAACGTTTGCACAATCTCTCTTTGCTTGGCATAGAAGCCAAAATAGCCAAACAAATGGACATAAAAGATGTTATTAGAGATTTCGCTAATTTGAAATCCAGGAGAATGAATTTTGAATTTTAGAAAAGCTAAAACTGCTGTTGATATGTTTTCTTGTTCACGTTGTGTCTTTCATTTAAAAAAAAAATCATATCTAAACACCTTCATATGTGTTGTTACTTTTGTAGTAAGTAATAAGTAGCTGTTTCAAATGTTATACAAAGAAGAGGCAATGTTCTAGCCGATTGATATTCATTTGTTTAATATACACCCGATCAGGGGCGTAGCGGGGGGTGCGGACCGCACCGGGTGACACCATTTAGGGGGGTGACACCAAGGCAAAAAAATAGCAAAATATATAGAGAAAAACTCGAGGGGGGGGTGCAAATCGAAATTTTGAGGGGGGGGGGGGGGTGCAAATCGAAAATTTGAAAGTTTGTCCCTGGGAAGGGTCTCTATGGCTCTGGGGGGGGGGTGACACCCGACCTCGCTACGCCACTGCACCTGATATATATATATATATATATATATATATATATATATATATATATATATATATATATGTGTATACATATAGATATATATATATATATATATATATAGGGGCCTAAAAAAATTTTTTGCGGGGGGGCCATTTTTTTCTAGTTCCGCCACTGCATGGCGCCCGCGGGGTTGGGAACCCCTGGGTTAGGCAAAAGAATTAGATCTAGGCGTAGAATATGAGAGGTCACAAAAAAAAAAAGAGGTGGAAGAAATAATAACTCATCATTCAGTTGTAGTCTACAAGGACAACAGGCACTCCTCAAGCCCGTTAAGAAAGACAAATTAACTGGATATGTAAATATAAAACCACACAAGATAAAATATGAAACAAAATTTATAGATTCTGTGACAGCAATGGGACTAGACAGCTTCTGTGAGAACTGGGACTGGACAGCTTCTGTGAGAACTGGGACTAGACAGCTTCTGTGACTACTGGACTAGACAGCTTCTGTGAGAACTGGGACTAGACAGCTTCTGTGAGAACTGGGACTAGACAGCTTCTGTGAGAACTGGGACTAGACAGCTTCTGTGAGAACTGGGACTAGACAGCTTCTGTGAGAACTGGGACTAGACAGCTTCTGTGAGAACTGGGACTAGACAGCTTCTGTGAGAACTGGGACTAGACAGCTTCTGTGAGAACTGGGACTAGACAGCTTCTGTGAGAACTGGGACTAGACAGCTTCTGTGAGAACTGGGACTAGACAGCTTCTGTGAGAACTGGGACTAGACAGCTTCTGTGAGAACTGGGACTAGACAGCTTCTGTGAGAACTGGGACTGGACAGCGTGAGAACTGGGACTAGACAGCTTCTGTGAGAACTGGGACTAGACAGCTTCTGTGAGAACTGGGACTGGACAGCTTCTGTGAGAACTAGGACTAGACAGCTTCTGTGACAACTGGGACTAGACAGCTTCTGTGAGAACTGGGACTAGACAGCTTCTGTGAGAACTGGGACTAGACAGCTTCTGTGAGAACTGGGACTGGACAGCTTCTGTGAGAACTAGGACTAGACAGCTTCTGTGACAACTGGGACTAGACAGCTTCTGTGACAACTGGGACTAGACAGCTTCTGTGAGAACTGGGACTAGACAGCTTCTGTGAGAACTGGGACTAGACAGCGTGAGAACTGGGACTAGACAGCTTCTGTGAGAACTGGGACTAGACAGCTTCTGTGAGAACTGGGACTGGACAGCTTCTGTGAGAACTGGGACTAGACAGCTTCTGTGAGAACTGGGACTAGACAGCTTCTGTGAGAACTGGGACTGGACAGCTTCTGTGAGAACTGGGACTAGACAGCTTCTGTGAGAACTGGGACTGGACAGCTTCTGTGAGAACTGGGACTAGACAGCTTCTGTGAGAACTGGGACTGGACAGCTTCTGTGAGAACTGGGACTAGACAGCTTCTGTGAGAACTGGGACTAGACAGCTTATGTGAGAACTGGGACTAGACAGCTTCTGTGTGAACTGGGACTAGACAGCTTCTGTGAGAACTGGGACTAGACAGCTTATGTGAGAACTGGGACTAGACAGCGTGAGAACTGGGACTGGACAGCATGAGAACTGGGACTGGACAGCGTGAGAACTGGGACTAGACAGCTTATGTGAGAACTGGGACTAGACAGCTTCTGTGAGAACTGGGGCTAGACATGAATATAACCAGATGTTATAAAAACTTGATTGATATTGTGTACTTTTGTAAGAATTTTTTTGGAAGATTTGTCAAGCTGTTGGGTTAGGGTTAGGGTTAGATTTGTCAAGCTGTTGTTGAAAAAAAACTGTTAATAAATGATTTGCCAGAAAAAGTTTAAAGTAAAATTAGTAAAAACAGGATTTAACAGAAATGAAACCTTTCACCTATATTTCCATTCAAAGTTTGTTATCTCCAGAGAAACATCATCTTAAGATGTTGAGTCGATATAAATAAATAGAAATATAGCCATAAACTTTTGTTAAGATCTTGGGTTGATATAAATAAATAGAAATGTAGCCGTAAACTTTTGTTAAGATGTTGGGTTGATATTATAAATAAATAGAAATGTAGCCGTAAACTTTTGTTAAGATGTTGGGTTGATATAAATAGATAGAAATGTAGCTGTAAACTTTGGTTAAGATGTTGGGTTGATATAAATAAATAGAAATGTAGCCATAAACTTTTGTTAAGATGTTGGGTTGATATTAATAAATAGAAATGTAGCCGTAAACTTTTGTTGCTTTACTTTAAAATATTTTCATCTTCTCTGTATTTGCAAATTTTATGATATTGTTTATTACAATATTAAATTTCTTAATTTTTTTTAGCTTTAGTTTTTTTTTTATAACTGCCACTTGATAGGCAAAAATACATTTTTTATTTATGTGGACAATAATGTTCATTAAATGACATTTACTGAAGATAGCTTTTAAAAGGACAAAGTGACGATGAATTGAGTTTTTTTCATGTAATAATCAGTTTTACATTCCAATATTGTAATCAGAATAATAAAATAAATATAAAGATTTGTGGACATGTATACATTTTATAAAGGGTATCAATTGAAAATACATTTCAGGTACATAACTAGGTAACGCATAACATTTAGTGTCCCCAGCCTAAGGTCACTCAATTATCCCCAGCATTTAAACTAGCTTGGAACAATTGTACTGATTCAAATACAACTAGACAGACACAGCATGTAACAATTGTACTGAATCAAATACAACTAGACAGACACAGCATGTAACAATTGTACTGAATCAAATACAAATAGACAGACACAATTAGTAACAATTGTACTGAATCAAATACAACTAGACAGACACAGCATGTAACAATTGTACAGAATCAAATACAACTAGACAGACACAGTTAGTAACAATTGTACAGAATCAAATACAACTAGACAGACACAGCATGTAACAATTGTACTGAATCAAATACAACTAGACAGACACAGCATGTAACAATTGTACAGAATCAAATACAACTAAACAGACACAGTTAGTAACAATTGCACTGATTCAAATACAAATAGACAGACACAATTAGTAACAATTGTACTGAATCAAATACAACTAGACAGACACAGTTAGTAACAATTGTACAGAATCAAATACAACTAGACAGACACAGTTAGTAACAATTGTACTGAATCAAATACAACTAGACAGACACAGCATGTAACAATTGCACTGATTCAAATACATAGACTGACACAGTAACAATTGTACTGATTCAAATACAACTAGACAGACACAGTTAGTAACAATTGTACTGATTCAAATACATAGACTGACACAGTAACAATTGTACTGATTCAAATACAAATAGACAGACACAGTTAGTAACAATTGTACTGAATCAAATACAACTAGACAGACACAGTTAGTAACAATTGTACTGATTCAAATACATAGACTGACACAGTAACAATTGTACTGATTCAAATACAACTAGACAGACACAGTTAGTAACAATTGTACTGATTCAAATACATAGACTGACACAGTAACAATTGTACTGAATCAAATACAACTAGACAGACACAGTTAGTAACAATTGTACTGATTCAAATACAACTAGACAGACACAGCATGTAACAATTGTACTGATTCAAATACAACTAGACAGACACAGCATGTAACAATTGCACTGATTCAAATACAACTAGACAGACACAGCATGTAACAATTGTACAGAATCAAATACAACTAGACAGACACAGCATGTAACAATTGCACTGATTCAAATACAACTAGACAGACACAGCATGTAACAATTGCACTGATTCAAATACAACTAGACAGACACAGTAACAATTGTACAGAATCAAATACAACTAGACAGTTTAGTTAGACACAGCTAGTAACAATTGTACAGAACAAGTTATCACTTAATAAAACTGGACTGTATGCAGTACAGGTCTGTTGACTTTTTGCTCAAAATCTTGAAGTATTTCATCAATTTCATTGTCCAGGTCTTCAGATGCATTCAGCTGTTGATTCAACATTTTTTAAATTCAAACTTCCATCAGATATAGAACTAACGACAGATACAAATATATATATTTTTTGGCTTACACTTGTTGGTTTATTAAATATTTGCTTTTATTTTAAGGAAAGTATCAATAAAATTTTAAGAAGTTAATGTTTTACTACAACTTTACTACTGAGCTATGTTTCACAACAATTTGAGTAAGTACATTTTTAAAATAATTTTACTAGGGAAAGTATCACTATAATACTACTAAATAAAGTCCCAATACAATTTCATGAAGCAGTTTTATTACAATTAGACAAAGTAAACAGACAAATCCAGCATAAAAATATTCAAAGACAATGTAGGTAACATGCAGATGTGTTTAGTAACTTGAATTATGTAGCTATTGACTAAAGCTCAACTCTTTGATGTGTCAGCTTTAGTTCCAGTGTTAAATGTGCTAGTTGGCTTAATTAAGCTCCACTGTTTTAATTTGTTAGTTCATTTAAGCTCCAGTGTTTAATTTCATTATTGGCTTCAGCTCAAGTATTTGTAGCGATGGTTTAATTAAGCACAACTACTTGATGTGATTTTATACTTACTGAATGTGATTATTAGCTCTATTCTTCAAACATTGTGAAAAAAAAAATGAACCCACCATTGTAACAAGCTCACATATCATAAAAGCTCCTATTGTGGCCTCCTCATGATTATCTTGAATATCAATGTTTATAATGTGTACAGCTTGCTCATCGTTTCTATCTCGAGTTTCAAAATCTAACATTGATCAAGAGGAAATTGATTGATAAGCATCTCAAATATACAGATCTTAGCAGAATTAAAGGCACATGATGCAAATATCTACAGGAAGAACAAACGGGATTTAGAAAAGGTCAAACTTGTGCTGACCAGATCATCATAGAATCATATGCTGCATGGCAGTCTCTCCTCAATGTCACATTTGTAGATTTTGAAAAGGTATTCAAGGGTGTTGATAGAAAAACTATATGGGCTGTCATGGGACACTATAGAATCCTAACTAAAGGGAAATCAATAATCAAAGACCTGTGGGCAGAATTTCTTGTTACAACAGGAGTTACACAATGATGTCTTCTCTCATCACTACTGTTCCTGCTAGTTTTTAATTGGGTCACCAGAGAAACATATGCAGACTCAGGCAATAGGATTTAACAGACCCTGACACAACTGAAAGAATTTGCTGATGATATGGCTTACTATCCCACAGACTTCAAAACACACAGGAGAAGGTTAATGGCCTTACTATCCCACAGACTTCAAAACACACAGGAGAAGGTTAATGGCCTTACTATCCCACAGACTTCAAAACACACAGGAGAAGGTTAACGGCCTTACTATCCCACAGACTCCATAACACACAGGAGAAGGTTAACGGCCTTACTATCCCACAGACTTCAAAACACACAGGAGAAGGTTAACGGCCTTACTATCCCACAGACTCCATAACACACAGGAGAAGGTTAACGGCCTTACTATCCCACAGACTTCAAAACACACAGGAGAAGGTTAACGGCCTTACTATCCCACAGACTTCAAAACACACAGGAGAAAATAACAGCTATGAGTGAGCCTGGAAAATGAGTAGAATAAACCACCAAAAGACAAAAATAATTAAAAATTCAATCATAAACAAGGTGTAGATGTAAAATTTGTGATCAAATAGACAGCTTTATATATCCCTAAAGTTTGGTCAATGTGTCAAGAGGAACAGACAAAGACATCAAATGTAGAATAAACAAGTGTTTGATTGTCTTAGTACAGTCCTACTCTTTGGATCTGAGAGATGGAAAACATCAGGGGCAACAACTAAAAGAATCCAGCCTCAGGAGTGTATTCAGAACTGGGGAGATATGTGGACAGGAAACCATAGAAAGGCATACCATGGAGAGGAAATGCTGATGGATTGGGAGAATGCTTATGATGAACCCTGGAGCCAGACAGGCCTTGGAGTGGAACCCCCTGGGCAAGCAATGTAGTGGTTGACCCAGGAAGACATAGGGGCACTGTGTGCTGGCGGAGGCAGAAATGATAGGAAGGAATTGGGAACAGCTGAAAAGATGGCAGGAAACTGGAGTGGAAAGCTTTGACAGGGACCCTATGTTCAGCAAGGACAGAAAAGGAAAAATAATGATGAAAATAGACAGGTACTTTAAACTTTAAAAATATTTTTAAGGTAAGCATAATGTTGTCTAGAGATGGCATGGCCTAGCGGTATAGAACTAGACCGTGAACTTGAAACTCTCGAGTTCGTATCAGTAGAACATCCCTGAGTACACTCAGCTCTCATTGGTACGAAACTCACATTAGGGAAAACAAAAGCGGCTGGTCATAGTGCCTACCACACTATCCTTTCAAATGCCGAGGTCCCTGAAACAGATGAACTCTACTTCATCTGCCCAATGTGCCTTGGGCATGAATAGGAAAAGATGATGATAATGTTGTCTGATGGCTTACCTTCTAAAACCTGGTCATAAACACGTTCCTCACATGTGATGATCAGGTCAAATTGATCTTTAGACAACTGAAAACGTTCGGGGTTTGCCTTGATTCTCCTGTTTCTATCTAACATATGCAGGATTCCATTCTGTGTGTATCTAAGTCAAACTTGTTATGGAAACATCAGTTATTATGTAACTATGCACCTACCATTTCTCTACAAATAGAGAAAAAAAATGACTTGGCTGTGTCTGATGTATTAGATGTTATCAATACCCAAATCATTCTATAAATCACAACAGTTGTTTGTCGCTTACTTACATGCAGCAGGCCGGCATAATTCATTGCTTTATGTCTATTATAGAAATCTAAACGCCTGAATTGATTTGATCAATTTTTGTCACAATGGAGGACTATTACAAGAGGAAAGTCCCTGTGCACTTTCTGGCTAAATTCTATCAAGATTCCAATTGTTTTCAATTTTTTCAAATATTTGTATAGCCCACATAGACAACCTCCTTTCCATCATTTGAGTTATACATAATTTAATTAAATATGATGCCCAACTTTCAGGACTAGTGTTATCTCTATATATAGCTGTCTGTATTTACAGGTCTTATAGTTATCTATCATTCTGAAAAACTGAGCTGGAGATATTCAAATTATAACTTGATATTTTTATAATTTAAAAAGTTCCTAAAATTATAAATTTAGTTTACATATATTTATCAAATTTGAAACTATGAAACCCTATACAGTTGTATTGTTTAATATTTTTTATTCATAATTTAGGTCCAATAAATAGAACTTGTAAAAAATGTGATTAGATAAAGTACTTGAGTTGGGTTAGTGTTACAATACTTTAAAGTTGGATTGCTTGATTGCTATGGTAGTGTTTTGGTCAGCATTTGATGGGGATTGTATAGGGGTTATTAAAAAAAATAGACTTGGTTAAGTAAAACAAACTATTAGTAAAGTGCAATAAATTAATGTACACAATTACCCCATTAACAATATAAGTTATTTGAGCAAATAACTTCAGTCGGACATTACCACCCCTCCCCCAATTAATTATACACTGGTCATTTAGAGAAATTTATATGAATTAGTATATAGTAATATATATATATATATATATATATATATATATATATATATATATATATATATATATATATATATATATATATATATATACATATATATATATATATATATATATATATATATATATATATATATATATATATATCTATCTCAGGGATCTGACCAAACCATGAAAAAAAAAGGAGTTTTTTTAATGATAAGAACTTGATGTTTTTATCTATGTTTTATCTATTGTTTAACATAGCTAATATCTTAAATAAAGAAGTTTATGTTACTCTAAAATAACACTGAAAGTCTTGTCTAATTACAATTTAATGTTTACATTATAAACAACTTTTTAAATAATTAAATTTTACAGTTTAACCTAAGTGACAATTTAATTTTATTTTAACATTTAGCTAGTTTAAACTGTACTAATCTAGTCTAGTTGTGTTCTTGTTTTCAATTTTAAATTATGCCTTATATTCTTTTAAAGATTGGCATGGTAAAAATGTAAGTCTTTAACTGTGAAGAGCCTAGATTAGCTAAAATAAGAAAGGGTCTGATATTTATTTTTATATTTTTATTTTTAAAAGTGTTATGTAATTAATACTTGTAAAAATAACTGGACCAAAATTAGCCATCTTGGTAGCCAAGCACCATCGAATTTTATTCTTTTGGAATAGCTGCAGATTGTTAGGGGGTCATCCATAAATGACTTCACACTTTTTTTGAAGGGGGGCGGGTTAATCCTCATGGTCTCCACTTGCAAGGATTTCCATATAAGAAGCAGAGAGAATTGGTAGATTTAGGCGAGTTATAAGAAATGGCTATAGCTAAACTACTGTGCAAGCAAGATTAATGGTAAAGAAACCTGGCTTGGGAGATATAAGTTTCATTTGAAGAGCAACATTACTTTAGATTACTTTTACCCATGGTTTTTAATAAATATTTAGCTGAAAATATCAGCGAATAATTTGGACTAAAAAAATTTGCTTTCTGAAAAATTTATAAATCAGACCAAATTTTTAATCTTGACAGTTCTTCTTAATCTAGCACCGTCAGACCTAGCGCAATCATCGAATTGAAAACTAATGCACATATTTGATAGTCCGTTTGACTTATTAGGACTTTATTAGAAATATGTGGAAGGCATGTGTGGTTTGTTTCAATAGAAATCATTTCCCTTTTTTTTCCCCCATTTTTTATAACTTCACAAAAAATAAAAAACAGTGGAAAATTCGGGAAAAATCAACACAGAGGAGGAAAATTGCAGCTGTAACGTAAAAAGCGGATTCCAGCTAAAAATCAGACATATCACACCCATGATATATATATAGGCCCTATATATAAATAATATATATATAAATAATATATATATATAAATAAATATATATAAATATATACAAATGTATATAAATGTATATAAATATATATAAATATATATATAAACTAGCGTACCCGTCCCCGCGCGTTGCCAATCCTATTTTCTTAGACACGTAACCTTGTTTTCTAAAAGTGAGTTATTTAAATGTAAACAATGCCTGCGCTTGGATCATAAATACTGGGGCACGGGTTTACTTTACACTACCGCGTAAAAACCTTATGTGGACATAAATCACTCACCGAAATAATCACGTAGAACACATTTCGGTGACCACCCATTTGTCAGGGACGTAGAGTGGTGCTCTAAGGAGCACCCCCCATCCTCGAATACACTACCGCATAGGCGCCACGTAAGGCCCCTGGCTCCTTAAAAACTAACAGGCGCCATCGTGCCAAATAGCATCCTGTCAACAATAATACAGATTGCGTCATTCGCAAAAGTGACACAAATGAACAGGATTATTTTCTTTAGCACGTAAAAAAGTTTTTGACGTGTTTTAATCATCAGTGTGAATGATGCAATATGTTAGCGTTACTAATAGTCTATTATTAGATGCTCGATCTCAATTTCTGATTGATTGTCTAAAAATAGATGCTAATTGCATCATTCGCAAAGTGACGAAACTGGATTTTTTACGGACAAAAAGAAACACCCCAGTTAATAATCTAACCTTGGTTTGTTTTTGTGATTATTAAAATAAAACGTATTACATGGCCCTCAGCGGCCCATGTGAGCCTTTGGGGGCCAAAACTGAAATTTTTGTTTGCAGCCAACTCGCACCCTACCAGGGTGCCGGCGGACACGCCTGATTCAATTTAGTGAGTGTTTGTAACGACACATCCTATCCATTGTCTATCACGCTGTTTAGACACAACGTAGTCGCCATCGCGCTCACTGTAAAGAACAGGGCGCCAAATGGAATCCTACAGGGGGGGGGGGGGGGGGGGGAATGGGGCCTCCAATGCAAAATTAAATCCCCCCTCCCACCACCATCCACCCACTCCCACCCGAGAAACCTTATCGGGAGTATTCATCAACTTCCTACAGTTTTATGGCACTCAGACAAACTGTGTCGAACCGCAATCGTCTTTTATTTAATCGCACCCTTCCGTGGCGCCGCCCTTACGAAATTAAAATATTTTTTTAAAGAACCCTTCCCCATAGTGTTCTAATGACCTCCCCAAAGTTTGATGGCAATCGGATGAACGCCGTCAAACCACAATCGACGTTTATTTTTATATGCCGTATATAGAGAAAATAGCACCCTCCTGTGGCGCCGCCCTTGCGAAAATAAAAATGATTTTTTTTTTACAGAACCCTTCCTAATCAAGTCCCTGAAGTTTGGTGGCTATCGGATGAACATTATGAGACCGCAATCGACTTTTATTTTTATTTACCATATATTTAGAGAAAACAAATCGCGCCTTGCCAGGGCGCCACCCCTGCGAATTTAAAAATGTTTTTGGAGCAGAAGCCTCCCCAGGAATATTCTTAACATCTTCCCAAAGTTTCATGGCGATCGTGTGAACGGTGTCACCGCAATTCACTTTTACTATTTTTATATACCACATGTAGAGAAAAATCGCACCCTCCCGAGGCACCGCCCTTGCGAAATTAAAAATGATTTTTTTTTACAGGACCCGACCCCAGAGTCTCCTAATCAACTTTCCAAAGTTTGATGGAGATCGGATGAACGCTGTGTAAAAAAGCTATCGACTTTTTTTTTTATAAACCGTATATAGAGAGAAAACAAAACACGCCCTGCCGGAGCGCCACCCCTGCGAATTTGAAAATGTATTTTAAGCAGAAACCTCCCCAGGAATATTATCAACATCTTCCCAAAGTTTCATAGCGATCAGGTGAACGGTGTCACGGCAATTAACTTTTATTATTTTTTATACTGTATATAGAGAAAAATCAATATGTCAATATGGTTTTGTTTACTTTTTTACGCATAATAATTGTGAATAAAATGAATTAGTTAAACTTAACAAAGTATCAAAAGATTCATTAAACTTAATCTTTGTAATAGCATTTGATTTGAAAAAGTAAAAATTAAAACAAACTTACTCCTTTAGCCTGAAATATAATAAATGATAATGTATAAAACAAATAAAGTAACGGTAGCTATACAACATTAATGTTCGAAATACACGAAATATTTTTTTTAAATGTGAATGGGTCTTCAGGTTCGTACGTAAAGCTGTTGTTTTTATTGCATCACCATCACAAATATATCATTTAATTTTCTCTGCTGGCAGGTACATCGTTTTGATCACACCTCTCTAATACTATGTGATTATGTATTGTGTGAACTTTTGCTCAACATGTTGTAACTTCACATTTCCAAATCTCTTTGCTTGCTGCTCCACGTATGGCTTTGATAAACAGAAATTCACCAGAAACTTATGTCCTAAAACCTTTCTGCGAGGTAACGAAAGAGGCCATAGCTGAGTAATCACCACTAATACTGCCTTGCTTGCATGCACACTACGACCAACTTGGCTCAGCGATGACCGCTGTCATTTAAATAAGCATTTGTCACCTAATCACTAAGGTGTGACCGACGCATAACTATTGACTTTAGAATCTAGTTGTATTGTCCATGGAGGGCAGATGTCTATCCCTTAGGGCACATCTCTGCTATCAAAGCGGGCGGCCACCTTAATACGAAGGTGTGTCTTTATTGTTATTTCATTCCCTAGTTTCGTCCACCTAACATGGTAGGTTTGTCTCATGTTAGTAAAAGCCCACCTACGCTGTCCATTGAAAAACTTCTTAAATCTTCCCATACTATATTAGTAATCTTTATTTTAAAATGTTTAGTGCAAACATTTCTCACAATTATTATATAAGCCTATTAACAATATTAAACATAGTAAACAAAACCATATGACAATAAAAAATATGTTCAGATCAACTAAAATCATCCAATAGGCCTACACTATTAAAATTTTGCTGTGAGATATTTTGTCTGAGATCAATTGCCCATGGTATCATTTGTCCTGATATATTTTGTCCTGGTATCTTTTGTCCATGAGATGATTTGTCAGTGAGATATTTTGTCTGAGATCATTTGTCCTGTCACCATATACATATATATATATATATATATATATATATATATATATATATATATATATATATATATATATATATATATATATACATACATATATATATATATATATATATATACATATACATATATATATATATATACAGTCTACTACTACATATATATATGTGCCGTATGTATGTGTATGTATATATATAAGGGTTAACCCCTTTATGCAACTGTCGCGACAACGCGACAACGATTTTGCGCTTAGCATATGAACATAGGCACATTTATCTTACTGCTGCTGGTTGTTGTGTATTGGGTACATCCAGACGGTTGTATCATTACCAATGGTCATGTTGTTAAGTCAAAATTTATGACATAACACTCTCTTGACTCACGCGCATCGTAAATTTTTTGACTTCGTGAATTAAGACTACTTATATTGATTATTATTACTAAATAGGTGGTTTGTTTTTACTACAAAAAATACTAATAGTTTTATTATTCACTATTTTATGTATATAAACTGTATAAATCACATGGTAATCCATAGCAGTATCATTTGAGTAAACCAGCAGTAGCACGTAGTACCAAAAGCAGAAACATTGGGTACTATCAACAGTAGCAGTGAGTACCCACAGCAGTGACACAAAGTACCCACAGCAGCTGCATTGAGCATGGGCGAATATACAATAGCTGAACACTGTCATTTAGGACAGTATTTGTTCACGGGCTTTTGTGTGTATAGCAAATATAGGTCAAATGAGAAATATGCATCTTTACTAGTTGACATTGAATAAGAGTTCACAAAAATTATGCAACCGGGGACAACTAAGACTCTACACATTTAAGAAAGTCGTTTCATATGTAGTGTGTTACTGTAGTGTAGTAGAACCACGACAGCAAGTCTTCAAAATACCCATTCATAAGAGTTAGTGAGCAGGTGCAGCAGAGTTATGTAACTCTATGTCTGAGCTAATAAACTATAGTTTCCATGAATTTTACAAATGAATCTAGATCTACATCTCCTTGCATGTCCTTATGTTTAGTTTGTGATATTTGGTTGTTTGTGCATGGATATTTAGAGAAATATGTGTCTGTAAAAATAGTAAAATGACCCTGACTAAAAATAAAATTATTTACTGTTTGGTCCTTAAGTGCTTGATGTTGCAAATTCGTGACATACCGTAAATAGCATAAAAATTGGGGAACAGGACATTCCCCCCCCCCCCTTCCGCCCTCATTACCCCCGGAGTAGATACCCCGGTCAATTACCCCCCCCCCCCCCCAGCCAGTAGGACATTACCCCAGGTCATAGCCTAAGGTTCAGCTAGGGTTAGAGCTAGGTTTTGAGTTTGGGCTAGGTCTAGGGTTAGCGCTAGGGTTAGGGCTAGGTTTAGTGTTAGGATAGGGTTAGGCTTAAATCAATGTCTAGAGTTGGGTTTGGTTTTGAGTTTATTTTAAGGTAAGGGGAATTCTTAGGTTTTTTTGTGTTTGTCTTAGGGTTAGGATTGGGGGGGGGGGGGGGGGGGGGGGGAAGGAAATACGGAGGAGGGGGGGGGGGGAATGTCCTGTAGTCCAAAAATAAGTCCCAATTTAAAAACCACTATATAACTCAAATTCATTGTCAATATGATGAGAGAAAATCAGCACAAATAATTTTTTAAACGCTTGGAACATAATTCAGGCATTAAGGGGTTAAGGCAGATAAATAAAAATCAGTTGTTCAATTGAATCAAGGATACAATTCATAGTCTTTCTGCATGAGATCCCTGTACATGGCATCATAGGTAATGCTGAAGTCATAAATGTTAGGCTTGTCAGGAGCTGGGCCAGGAAGTTTCACCATATTGCCAGTTCCAAAAGACTTGACAGTAAAGCCTTTTTTACTAATTCAGGATGAAAAACATATTATGCACCGTTATGAAATTTACAATGCATCTAGAATCAAGTGAATGATACATTTTAAAATGTATTCCTTTCCTTACAAACAGATATTCTAAAATAATTCAATACCAAAGCTCAGTGTTTAATAAGGCCTAATGTATAGACAGCCTAGATTAACACATTAAAAATAAAACTGCTAATGTGAATATCTGCTTGCGTAAATAAAATAAAAATTTAATGTACTTTTAACCCTCACTTTTAATTAAAATATGTGTGTGAGTCACTCTTTCATTTAATCAATCAATAGAACTGAAAAAAAACTAGCAACAAACCAACCTTTGTAAAGACAATATCAAATTGAAAGTATCTTCCAAAAAAATTTTTTTTATCACAAAGTTAAGATTTGGGAATTGAAAAATATTTTTGAAATTTTATTTCATTAATTTGTGTGAATAATTGTCAATCAAATATACCAATAAAACCAGTATTGTAATACAAAAGGGCTACTTTAATATAAGAAATAGGATATGTGGTCAGTTATCCCCTCAAATTATTTTTTAATAAATTAAACAGTTTATCAGCTGAGTGAAGCATATAGCAATACCCTAACAGCTGATTTAATTATTGTAGGTGGAAAATGCAAATCTCGGACTGACTTGTTTTCTTTAGCTTTTATAAACATCAATTGGGGTTAAGTGTTCAGAGGGTTTATATCATGGGGGAGGGGGTGCTTGTTCTGAGATTAATGTCAGAGAATTAATATTCTGGAGCTGAAAATAGAGGTGTTTCTAGTTATCTTTCAACCCTCTAAAATTACATTTGATAGTTTTTTAAGTGTTTATAACTATAGAGGCTAAACTGCCAAATTTTATGTTTGTGTTGATCCTGGAAGTGGTTGATCTAATTCCAATAGTTAAAAGAATGTAAAATAATGTATTGCTTATATAAGCAAAAAACAGTCCACTTAAATTGTTGCAATTGAGATAGATATCATTTTCTGGGACTTGAAAATTTGTCTGAAAATATCTGATGTAATTCAGGTGTTGAAATATGCTTACCTCAAAAAGCTATGTGCCTCCATGCTTCGGTTTTGGTTACTTGAACAAACAACAGCTATCTTCAGATCATTGGCCATATTAAATATTGTAAATCTTGGGGCTTCTCAAATTTAGTTTCCTTGGTACTTTTATTTCGGTAAATTTTGCTTAATTCACTTATTCACTTAAGGATTGTCATATTTTTACTTGATATCAAATTAATTCTTCACCTGCATCAAGGCTAATCTTGAGTCAAATCTGCAAATAGTTTCATAGTAATAGTACAAGAGGCATTACCATTTGTTTTAAACATTGGACTCCTCACTTAACACCCACTTTAAAACACGACATACTATATGCATATAGGTATATTTATCCTACTGCTGCCAGTCATTGTATGTTGGGTACCTCCACACGGTCCTATTGGTACAAATGGTGTTGTTGTTAAGTCAAAATTTATGACATGACACTCTATTGACTCACATACATCGCTGTTTATGACTTCATGAATTCAGCCTACTTACATTGATTATTACTAAATAAGTAGCCCACTTTTACTACAAAAAATACTAACAGCTTTATTATTCACTCTTCTATGTGTGTACACAGTATAAAACACATATGAGAATAATTTAGGAAATTATCCTCTGATTACACTTTGTCGTGTTTTCGCAACATCCAGCAACAAGACATAAAATTGTACTTGGGTGCCAAGCTAGTAAAGCTGAATGGGATGCCTTGCCAAGCTGTAATTTCTTCAAGCATGTTTATAAATGCGGGAAGGATGTACAATATAGTCTTTCGCCTATATATATAAATGATCAAATAAACCATGATTTACAGTAACTCTAGTTTACGATACTCAACTCAAACATTAACAGATAATTTCTGACGCTAAACTAAGGTTTTACCCTATGCTTCTTGTTACTTAACTAGGCATATTGGGAAAATAGTTCTAATTATCATAGGATGATAAAATAGACACAGATTAATCCTATAATATACCCCATTGATAAAAATACCAAATTTATCATTCTAGGCTTAGTAGTTTTTTTTATATGAATTTTTAAAGTTATGATGTAAAAGTTTAAGTTCTTGTAAAAGTTTATTAAGCTAAGTGTTTAGTTGTATCACATCAGAAGGAGCAAGAGCTTCCCTATCAATAATAGGTAATGGGGTGTTAAACCAACGCTATTGCGTCGTCAAGGCTGAAGCGCTAGCTTAGTGATTTGACATGTATAATAACTCGTAAACAAACTTTGTGAATATTTGTTTTAAAAACTGGAGCCTTAAAGCTAATGGCAAGACACTCAGAATGTGTTTAATATGTAAACTTATTTAAAATGTGACAGCATCCTACATGACATGTTCGCGACATAAACACATTAGGATCGTTCAATCAACTTTGGTTTTAAGATTATCATAATGGCGGTAATTTTCTCATTGAAACATATAATACTACTAGCCATCGGTACCCGTTTCACGTGAATTATAGGCCTATATATTTTAATTTTAAAATGTTGTACTTGTTTGAGAAAATTTTTTATGAAATAGTTATTGGTCAAAACGCAATGTGCTTTACTACACGCTGAACGATATTAGTGACAAAGCAAAGAAGTAACTAATTAGCTAAAAATCCGACACATTTAACATAACACAGGCACACACTGATTAAGTGACTTAAATGATTCCGTTAAAAAACTGGCTATTCAATGGTCATTATGTTGTTTTTAAGTAATTTGTATTAGTTTGACCGATAAAATTGTATATATTTCATAGCGTACGTCTTGATGAGTAGATCTATAGATCTAGATCTAAATCAAATTTGAATGAAGTAGTTCCTTCTTTATAGTCTAAAATCGGAAGATTCACATATAAAAATAAATTAAAAAATAAGTTTGACTTGGTGTGTCTCAATCTCTCACCGCCTGCGTAGTATTAAGTACACTATCATCTCAGCTATTTAGGCACTTTATAAGTTATGGAGAATGAAAGACAGATTAAAAATGTTAAACTTAGGCGAATATGCCTATTCTTTCAAATTAATTTTTTTATCCCAAATTAGCAAGTTCCATGGTTAAATAAACAAAGATTTCTATAAAATATGTTTACACCGGTGTCCGATAATGGAATCTTCTTTAAAAAAGGGGTGTTAGGTTACTGGTAGTTAACTAAATACACACTTGGCTGGCTAATGTCAATGCTAACCCTGTCCCTAACTCTAACCCCAACCCTGGTCCTACCATACGCCTAATACTAATTTCTAACCATAAAATTAGTCGAGATTACAACTAACAACCCAACACCCCTTTTTTTTAAAAAGATTCCATTACCGGACACCGGTATCTATAATCATCCGACTTTAAATCTAGATCTTAGCAACTTAGCGTCTACGTCTAGTTTTTGCGTAGATTTAGATCTAGTCTAGATCTAGAATCTCTAGAACTAGAATCCAAATAGATAAAATAAATTTTATAAGTTTAGGCCGGAAAAATTGTGTTGTATACATTTCATAGCTTACGTAGATCTAAATCAAATTTGAATGAAATAGTTCATTTATTTTTATTCTAAACTCGGCAGATGACGTCATTAGTTAATGTATAAACATTAGTGACGTCATTGTTTCATGGGTTCTTTTTCACAACTATAAACGCTTTTCCTGTTGCATAATTAAAACTGTTTTTCTACATTCGAATATGCCTTTATTTTTTATTTTTCTTCTTTAACTAAAATGTTGGTTATACATTTAAAACATCTACCATATTTTTTTCAACAAAAGTCCGTATCAAGTCCTCCATATATCGCTGCAGATTCTGATGTGATATTCGGCGAAAATATTTTGCGGACAGAGAGAGAGAGAGAGAAAAGTGCGCACATGTGCTTTTATATATTAGGATAATACAACAGCACTAGAATATCTGTATTGAATATGTTTAAAAACTCGTTTCCAACAGTGAGGTTCGTCATTCTTCGGAAAATGGCTAGTTTTTATAAAGACTGCATCAAAAAGTCTGGATGTGGTCGTACTGAATCAAAACAGCAGAAGTCCAAATGCCTACACTTAACTTATTACTTAGTGTCACTAATAGTGATTTAGACTAGATCTAGATTCTAGAATTAGAATCTCTACTTTCTAGATTACTATATTACTATATACTAATACTAGGCCTAGAGATTAGATTTTTAGAACTTAGATTCTAATTTGTGATTCTAGAATAATCTCTAGTGATCTATTCTTAATCCAGATTCTAGAATTAAAGAATTTAAAGACCTAGATCTAGTGGTAGTAGATCTCATTCTAGATCTAGTGACAATCTAGTCTGATCTAGATCTAGCTTTAGACAGATTAGATTTTAGATTCTAGATCTAGATTCAAAATTAAAAATTAAATTAATCTCGATCTGACATTTTAATTGGTAATTTATTGTTTTGGGTACGTAAAATCGTCCGCGGCTAATAATGTAGGAAAACGTTACCTCGTTGTCAAGGCTTTAATAGAAATGTATTGTGATATGTTGGTGTCAAAAATTATAGATAAATGAATAATAAACCTAAATCAATGGCTAAATATAACAATATAGGCCAGAAATTAACTTTAAACAGAAGTGTCTGCGAGCGAGATTTACTATATAAACAGCAGCCATTTGTAAAAGAGAGTGGCTTCCCCCTGAATCTCGGTCTATCTATATATATAATTCTCTTCTGGGAGACGCTAGAAAACAAGCTGTAAACGTGCTCCCTACCATCCCCACCCCTACATGGTCTTAGTGAGCTGTGGTTCATGCTATGTTTACCTTCGTGGAGTCGGGTTTAGTGACGGTTATTAGGGGCAGATAATTTAGTTTGAAACGATTTTAAACGTTGGGGGGGGGGGGGGGGGAGTTATGGTCCTTAACGAGCTACTTATAGTGTTTTAAAGAAATATTTTCAGTGTCAGCGTTGGTACTGTCGAATTCACAAATTATGAATTACTGAAAAGTAGAAAAAACAACAACTAAATAGCGGCTGCTATAGTAAATGAGCATGGTTGCATCTGTTGGAAACATCGCTAGTCTTCATTTATTACTGAAAAGTTTTAGGCTAATTCAATTGTTTAAAAACAGGTACATAAATGAAACAAGGAAACATTTTTGTATTTTTTTAGGATAAATCCTCATCAACATGCGAAATAATTATTAAAATTTAGGTCTAATTGTAATTAGTCACCTGTTTTCACATTACAAGTCGCGGGCAATTTTACGTACCTAAAACGATAGATTACTTAATAGATCTAGATCTAGATCTAGGCCCTAATTAATAGTAATACCTTTTAAATTAAAAGGCTTTTAATTTATTTTATGTAGGCCTAATTAATAAATATGTAATGTAGGCCTAGTAGTTAGTAGGGTAAAATCTTAGTTTAGCGTCGTAAATTCCAACGTAGCTAGTAATGTGCGATGAAGGTAACTAATGAATATTTCTTTCATTTGGCCATATTTATGTCATATTTTACATAACATAACAGATAATTGAATAACAAATCACAATCCAAGACCAAACCAGTCATAAATATCCTGGAATAAACTTTAAACTACCCCGTTCGAGACAACAATGAGGAAATACAAGCAGCGGCCATGTTTTAAAAACAATAAATTGTCTATTCGCATGTCTTTTGTGTTGATTTTGTGGTTTAATATGATTGTTTTGTATTGTTTTAATATATGCCGGGGGTCGTCCATAAATGACGTCACACTCGTAGGGGGGAGGGGGGTCCGTAATTTTGTGACGTTGTGTGATGAGGGGGAGGGGTTCAGATGGTGCGACGTCACACTTTTGCATTTTAAAAAAGTAATGTTAGAAAACGAATTTTAGACGTTATTTTGCGTTTTAAAAAACTGTTTTAATACATTATAATAACAATTAATCAATTGTTATTATAATGTATTAAAACAGTTTTGACAGAGTTCAGACAAGATTTTGGAAAAACATAGCTGTTTAAAAACAATTCAACTGCAATTTTGAGGGGGGGGGGGGGGTTGTAGGCTAAGGTGTGACGTCATTTTAGGGGGGGGGGGTCTGGCTTTTTGTGACGACGTGTGACGGAGGGGAGGGGGGGGGTAAAGATCGTCAAAAAAAGCGTGACATCATTTATGGATGACCCCCTGTATAGTAATTTTTCTTTTTTTAAAAAATATAGTTGACATGAATGACTAATAAACCTTATCAGACTTAATAGTGTGCATCCAAGACCACAACAATTGTTGGGAGGTCGAACTTTTGAACACTTTTTTTGAAAATCAATATTAGATCGCTCATAAATGACGTCGCTCTTAAGATAGTAATGACAGCGTGCATTATTACAGAACAAACATATGAACATATTGTTTCATATAGAAATTGTGATTTGTGGTGGGGAGAGGTTGAGTAGAACTCAGCGATATGATTTTGGAGACAGGTCAGGTTTTTTTTTAGTGAAAACAGGGGATGGTTGTGGGAGAAAGACCAGCTGTAGAAGTATGACGCGTCATTCATTGGTGATCCATTTTCTCAGAGGGGACGATAGAACTATTAAGAAGGGTCAAGAAATGTAAAAAGCATGCTGGGTCGCATTTCTTGAACCCCACCTTTTCATTCCCCCACTTAGCACATCGTCATCCGAGTTAACGCTCGCGCGTGATGTCATATACCGGTACCACCGACCGTTAGGCTAATTTTATAGAAAAATACAAACAAGCACTGCCGTTTTGACGCTTATGCGACGTTTAATTTGATTACATAAGTTGGTGTTCATTAAACAGCCCCTAACACATCTATCACTCGTCCATTTAAACGTACGTGGTTATTTCTGCTGTCTTGAGACTTTCGGCCCTTTAAAAATGTATTAAGCTCTCACCGTATAGAACTAGACTACCCATATTAAGCTCCAAAAGAAGCTTGGTGAAAACAGGATGGCCGTCCGATTTTGAAGCTGCTCTGCACTTTATAAAAAGCACAATAAACGATGACACTTATATTAAAGTAAATTATAGTTCTGAATCTTGATACATTAAAAGTGATATTTGGAAATTAAGAGCCAGACAGTCAACATGATATTTCAATTTAAGTCCAAGAAAATAAATTTCCTCAAACGACGGAACATTACTAAATTTTCGCGCTGTTTAGCGAAATTGAATTTAAGTATCATCTTACAAAGCGCGATAGCCTACTGGTGCTCTAACGCGGCCCATGCTAATGGCCGTATTCCTAACGCCCCGCATTAGACGCGGCTTATTCGTCGGCAGGCATTTGGTAGCAAGCCTTTTTGACGGGGATAATGTGTTGAGGCCGTTTTGCAAAATGTCTTAAACTAGCAGGCTTGCAACATTTTTGATGAGCAAGGTATACGTATATTAATGCTTATTTATCGTTATTTTGATTGAACAAAGCATTATAGAGGTTCTCCATCAACCATCTAGGTATTTTCCCCGTTCACCTCCTTTCATGAGACCGACACGTCATAAATTGCGGAGCCGCTTGAGTTGACGTCACAAATCTTTACTCACTCCCGTAGCAAATCATATGTGACATCATTTATGGACAACCCCATATCACTCACTTGGGTACTTGATATTGACAATTTGACAACAAAGGATAACCAAAATGTGTCTGGCAGGTGGAGACTTGCGATGGACCACAATGACAACACGCACTTAAGGGGTGGACTGGTTCATTGTTTTAGATGATGTTTTACTAGGGAAGCTGGTGGATAATACATTTTGTCTCTCCGTATATATATAAATGATGACAAACATTTAATGTTGTCAAAATTATGGTTAGAGATCTTAGATAAGGCAGAGTGAAGCGTAATTTTTTTACATTATGACTTGTTGTCAGTAGCGTAGCGAGGGGGGGGGGGGCGGGGGGAGGGACATATGTCCCCGGGCGCCGACCTTAAGGGGCGCCAAAATGGGTTGGAAAAATAAATTGAAAGACTTAGGGGGGTGCAAATTGAAAGTTTGAGAGGGGTGCAAATCGAAATCTTGAGGGGGGGTGCAAATCGAAAAGTTTGTCCCCAGGCGCCGGGAAGGGTCGCTACGCCTCTGCTTGTTGTGACATTGACAACAAAAATATGACGGAGGTTGGGGTTTAATTAAGGTAAAGAGAAGTAAAAAAAATGTCATAAGTTTCGATATAATCACTAATTGATGAAAAGAAAAACCTGAAATGAAAATAGTCATTCAAACAATAAGAAAAAACTCAAACTATATAGTAATAGTAAGATCAAATAAACATTAGTTAAAAAAAAACGTGATTTAATACATGGATACAAGTTGCATCTCACAATGCTTCTAGAATTAATAAAGTTGTTTGTTAGGAAATTCAGTTTTTAAAGGGCAGAATTAAAAAAAAAAATGCTTTGTAATACGGACTATACAACAAGACAATCATATTTAAATACATTTTCATACGAATAGAAATGAAAGGGAAGCTACTCTAAATAACATTTTCTCAAGATGGCTGCTGTTTTTAATAGCAGATTTACTATCTCGAACAGGGTTGATAAAAATTAATTTCAGGATATTTAAATTGATTTAATCATAAATGGTGATCTATTATTCAATTATCTATAATATTTTATCAAAATATACGAAAATATACTTATATTTAATGACATATTCATTAGTTCACTCTCTCCCACATTACTAGTTTTGGCCGAATTTACGACGCTAAACTAAGATTTTACCGTTAGTAGGGCCTACAAAAGTTTAAGTTAGTAGTAACTTAGTAGGGTAATCTATCGTTTTAGGTACGTAAAATCGCCAGCGACTAGTAATGTGAAAAACAGGTGACTCCTTACATTTTAATAATTATTTCACATTTTGAGGAGGATTTATGTTTTGAAAAATACAAAAATGTTTCCTTGATTCATTTATGTACCTGTTTTTAAACAATTGAATTAAAACTTTTCAGTAATAAATGAAGACAAGCGATGTTTCCAACAGATGCAACCATGCTCATTTACTATAGCAGCCATCTTGTTAAAGTTTTATTTTTATAGACTTATAGCGCTAGATTCAGGCGGAAGTCACTCTATTTTACAAATGGCTGCTGTTTATATAGCAAATCTTGCTTGCAGACACTGCTGTTTAAAGTTAATTTCTGGCCTAAATTGATATATTTAGCCATTGATTTAGGTTTATTATTCATTTATCTATAATATTTGACACAAACATATTACAAAATACTTCTATTACAGCCTTGACAATGAGGTAACGTTTTCGTACATTAATAGCCGCGGGCGGTTTTACGTACCCAAAACGATAGATTACCCTTAGTTAGTAGGCTAAGCCTTAGTAGGCCTATTAAGATTACCATTGAAGATTTCGAACTTCACAGGTCGCCCTAGCTAGCTCAGTATATTGAGTATAACTGTAAAGTAATAGTATGCTATAGGTTACAGAAATGACAATAGATCTAGATTCTAGATCTAGAGCCTAGATCTAACTTTAAACGAAGAAAATTGTGAAGCAAAATTTGATAACAGCTGCCATTTTTCTTGAATTATTATTAAGAGTAGTTTCCCTTCAATTTTTTTCCTGACCCAATTTTTAAAAAGCTGAGTAGTCTACCCTAAACTTTCTCGTATTTCCTTCAGAGTTAGGGTTAGGGAAGAAAATCTACCCCCCCCCCCCCCCCGCACCTCGAACGAGATGGAATTTATATAGTAAACATACACTTTTACTAGTGTCCGCCCCCCCCCCACCCCCGAAAAATGTTGACCTCCCCCCCGAAAATACCAAGGGGGTTCAAATGGTGCGACGTCACACTTTTGCATTATAAAAAAGCAATGTTAGAAAACGAATTTTAGACGTTATTTCGCGTTTTAGAAAACTGTTTTAATAAATTGTAATAGGAATTGATTAAATTACTCTATTTTGACAGAGTTCAGACAAGATTTTAGAAAAATATCGATGTTTAAAAAAAATTCAACAGCAATTTTGAGGGGGGTTGTGGGCTGATGTTTGACGTCATTTTAGGGGGGGGGGTCTGGCTTTTTGTGACGGAGGGGAGGGGGGTGAAAATCGTCAAAAAAAGCGTGACGTCATTTATTGAATACCCCTAGGCATACTGCCTAGCTTCGCTTAAGTTTTCAAAAAACATTTGAGAATTTGAGATTTTGAAACTGAGATGGCAGGACAAAGTGCCGAACATAGATTTCATAGAATTATGTAGAGAACCAAGGCAGGAGCCTATGACTGTGCAAATAAGAAGGAGGTAGTGGCGCTGGGTGGGGCACACGCTACGAATAGCTCACCCAAATTTGGCACGCCAAGCGCTTGAGTGGAACCCCAAGGGAAAGCAGAAGAGAAGGCGCCAAAGACAGACCTGGAGGCGGAGTCTTCTCGAAGAACTGAAGCTAACAGAGATGTCTTGGGAGACGGCAAAATTAATAGCCGGGGATCGGAAGAAATGGAAGGAAATGGTAGAGGCCCCATGTTCCATAAGGAGCAATGAGGACTAAGTCAAGTAAGGGGGTTGTCTATAAATGACATCACACTCGTAGGGGGAGAGGGGTCCGTAATTTTGTGACGGTGTGTGATGAGGGGAGAGGGGTTAAGACGGTGTGACGTCACTTTATGGTTTATAAAAAAGCAATGTTAGAAAACAAGTTTTAACCATTATTTCGCGTTTCAGAAAAAGGTTTTAATATATTGTAATAGAGATTGATCAAAATACTCTATGTTGACTGAGTTCGGACAAGATTTTGGAAAAATATCGATGTTTTAAGAAAAATTCAACAGCAATTTTGTGGGGGGTTGTGGGCTGATGTGTGACGTCATTTTAGGGGGGGTGGTCTGACTTTTTGTGACAACATGTGACGGAGGGGAGGGGGAGGAAAAATCGTCAAAAAAGCGAGACGTCATTTATGGATGACCCCTAAGTCAAAGTAAAGCATTGATGAAAGCCTCTTAAGATATTGCGTCTATATATATATATATATATATATATATATATATATATATATATATATATATATATATATATATATATATATATATTCGATTTGCACCCCCCCCCCTCAAGTTTTCGATTTGCACCCCCCCCCCCCTCAAACTTTCGATTTGCACCCCCCCCCCCCCCGCTCAAGTTTTTCTCTTTGTATTTTGCTAGTTTTTGCCTTGCTGTCTGGGTGTCACCCCCCTAAATAGTATCACCCGGTGCGATCCGCACCCCCCGCCCCTCCTCGCTACGCCCCTGTATCTATGTATCTGACAAGACAGCTATAGAGAAAACACAAGCAAAATACACAAAATACATAAGCAAAATAAAAACTTTCATAGTAAAACGAAAACGAAATATGACGTCACATTGAGCATATAGAAGTCTAAAGCAGGGGGAGTGCACACGATAATATGACGACATTGATTCTCGAGTAAACATTGAATTCAAAAGCCAATATTGTCTAATCTTAAAAGTGATTTACGAGCAGGTTCTTTCATCCAATTATTCGGGTAGGGGCAAAGCCCCATTCCCGCCCCCCCCCCCCCCTCAACTCAAAAGAAATGACGTCATCGATACTTTATAATAAAAATACTCAAATTAAGGCATAATTATTGTGTCTAATCTTATAAGCGTTTTGCGTGTAGAGTTTCTTTCATGCATTTCTTCGGGTAGTGGCTAAGCGCGACATCAGTGTTTCTTTTAGACTTTTTCCTTCCCGGAGGGGGGAACTTTTTTTAATCTAAAAAGTGTTTTGCGTGCACAGTTTCTTTCATGCACCTCTTCCGTTTGGGGCGAAGCCCCTCACAGGCTCTTCCTTTAGTTTGTATGATCTACAAATGCGACCAGTGTTTCTTTCAGACTTTTTCCTCCACGGAGAGTGGTGGGGGTACTTGAAATTTTCGGGGGCGGGGTGGAATTTCCTGGGAGGAGGCGGACACCGGAAAAAGTATATTATATTTTGTAAACATGCGACATTTTGTAAATGCGACTTTCGTCATGATTGAGACTAGGTGCATGGTTTGGCTACAACTATATTAAGTATTAATGCGCGATAACTACGAGTAGATCAAGCTTAAATCCAATTAAAATGCCAATTCTGGATAAAAAAAATCCGTTTTCAATGTCCTTTTTCGTTTCCGGTTCAATTTAAAGTTAAGGGGGTTATTTTAGTTTTGGTTTAGACAAACTAGCGCCCGTTGCATCCTTCCTCAACGGGCCATTTATCTCGTATATAAATTCCTTCCTTCCTTCCTTCCTTCCTTCCTTCCTTCCTTCCTTCCTTCCTTCCCTCCCTCCCTCCCTCCCTCCCTTCCTTCCTTCCTTCCTTCCTTCCTTCCTTCCTTCCTTCCTTCCTTCCTTCCTTCCTTCCTTCCCAACCCCCCCCCTCCCTCCCTCCCTCCCTCCCTCCCTTCCTTCCTTCCTTCCTTCCTTCCTTCCTTCCTTCCTTCCTTCCTTCCTTCCTTCCTTCCTTCCTTCCTTCCTTCCTTTCTTCCTTCCTTCCTTCCTTCCTTCCTTCCTAACCCTACGAAAGCGTGTTGTTCGGTGGTGATTCTAATGTTATGGTTGTGTTGTGGTTGTGTTGTGGTTATGTTGTGGTTGTGTTGTGGTTGTGTTGTGGTTGTGTTGTGGTTGTGTTCTGGTTGTGTTCTGGTTGTGTTCTGGTTGTGTTCTGGTTGTGTTCTGGTTGTGTTGTGGCTGTGTTGCGATTGTGGTTGTGGTTGTTTTGTGTGTGTTGTGGTTGTGTTGTGGTTGTGGTTTTGGTTGTGTTGTGTTTTTTTTTTTCTGTTCCCAAGTTGGTACATTAAAATAAGATTTACCGTGGTGGAGCACGGTTATGCGGCTAGTATATATATATATATATATATATATATATATATATATATATATATATATATATATATATATATATATATATATATATATATATATATATATATATATATATATATATATATATATATATATATATATATATATATTAGCCGTCCCGGCCAGGCCCTGCTCTGGCTTCTGTGAAAAACCTTTCTGTTAAAGACCATAAACCCGACACTGCCCACCCAAACCACAACCAACCAAAACCAAAACAATAAAACGCAAACATAACGCTTACACAATTACAAATACAAACGAAAACAAAAACAAAACAACAAACCCAACCACAAACACCAATACAAACACAAAGAAAAAACAAACAAAAAAGCAAACAAAAACCTAACAACAAACCCAACCACAACCACAAACACTAATACGAACACAAAGAAAAAAACAAACGAAAAAGCAAACGAAAACAAACCAAATCCAAACGCAAAACCAACCACAAACACAAACACAAACCCAAAGAAAATCCACAAACGAAAAAGCAAACGAAAACAAACCAAATCCAAACGCAAAACCAACCACAAACACAAACCCAAAGAAAAAACCACAAACGAAAAAGCAAACGAAAACAAACCAAATCCAAACGCAAAACCAACCACAAACACAAATACAAACACAAACCCAAAGAAAAAAACACAAACGAAAAAAGAACGAACAAAAACAAACCAAACCAAAACGCAACCACTAACGCAAACCCAATCTTAACACAAAGAAAACACAAACGCGAACATAAACGCAAAGTGCTCACAGTCTAGCCCGGGGCGAAATCGCCTGTTTCAGCTTAATAAACGACTATAGTACCCCAACTTATTTATAGTCTTTTGCATTCACTTAAACGAACGTAGTCGCAAAACCGAACACGGGAGGCCTGGGGCTCCAAATAGCACCCTGTCTGGGCGCCAGAGGACGCCCGGATTCGATTCACTTAAAGACTATAGTAACCTTTCTTATCCATACTCTATCGCAGGGGTTCCCAACCTTTTTTTACTCTAGAGCACATTATAAAATATCGGTAGGGTGGCGGGCACCACCTATTTTAAATCGACAAACTCCTTCCAGAGGCGTAGCGACCCTTCCCGTCACCCGGGGACAAAACTTTCGATTTGCACCCCCCCCCCCTCAAACTTTCGAATTGCACCCCCCCCCCTCAAACTTTCGTTGTCCATCCCCTTCAACCTTTCAATAATGTTTATGAAAAAAATTCTGTCTCTGTCGAATAGTGAGAGGCGGGCACATACGAATCGTTCGGCGGGCGCCATGGCGCCCGCGGGCACGGGGTTGGGAACCCCTGCTCTATCGCACTGTTTAAAGCGAAATTATGCACCATAGCGCTCACAGGATAGCCCAGGGCGCCAAATTGAACCCTGGTGGGGCGCCGGCGGACGAGCCTGTTTCAATTTAATGAACAAATATAATACTACAAGCTTATCCGTAAACGGAAAGAAATAAACATATGGGATTTGTAGGACCTGGCTTATTTACTGTTGTTGATTTAAAAAAAAAATTAGTTAACAATAAGCACAGTGTATAGAATAAATAAAAGGCAGTGTTAAAAATACCTATAACATTTGCACTTGATCAATCCTCGCTAACTATGTAATTATTTTTTTCCCAACACCAAAACAAAGTAATAATAAGTAAATTCTTTTCCACTAATGCAACGTTTTATAAAGGGAAGTAA